TCTTGTTTCACTGCTAAGTTAATTCAGTAAGTTTGACAGTTACCATTAAAAAGAACGATAAATGGATATTTTATGGATGCACCAACAAAATATCTGAAGACACACACAAAGCAGTAGCTGACAATTCATTATGTCTAGTAATATACACTGGAGACAGATAGTTGAGAATGTTTTTTTCTTCTTCTTTAATTAGACGAAGCAGGGTAAAACTGCTTCATTCTCCTGGGAATATCTGCTGTTTTCGGGGGGCACTGCGCTTTTCTAATGTTACTGGCCATCTGCTTGTAGCACCATTATGCTAATATAAGTTTTCCCACTGTGATAATGCTACAAGAAGGACAAAGGCTCTTTGGGACTGAAATCAGAAAAGGCCACCACAGCACACAGCCATGGGATCTATTTGTTGAAGATCCTAGAACAAAGCTGTGAAGAGGCAGAAGTCAAATGAAGAAGAGGAAGAAAAGAACAGGGAGGTTACAAAGAAGCCAGCAGTGTAGAACTTCCACAACAACATAGACATAAGGCTATACAACCATTATCAAAACCATTCCTCCATTAGTGTTTCTCCTAGAAGCCCAAAAATGTTTGACATTTCCCAGGTCCATTCCAATGCAAAATAATTGATATAAACTACTTTATAAAGCTGCTCACCCATAAACATCGACTTCTAACCTACAAATGTGGTCCATGAAGACAGAGCAGAAATACTTGAGCTGAGGAACAATTTATGATTTATAAATCATGAACATCTGAAATTAGTGGTGTAATGTCTCATACCCAATCAGGTTTTCCTTTTCATTTCGCCATACTACACTACAGCCATCGTAGGGAAAGCTAGATTGGTTGCCACAGGATAACAAAACAGTATGATTCCTTCAGCAACTTTTGATCATTCTGGATTACCAAGAGTGTTGGCTTCCCTTCACAGATCACAGGTAAGATTACGAGGATAGTTCCTTTAAACTTCCTGCTAGTTCCTAACTTTCAGAATAAAGACTTCAGATTAAGAGATACAGGAGGTAAATGTAATTTACTTCACTTTACTTCCCTCCCGATGATCCAGTGAGCTAGCTTTTAATGCTGCCATATTCTTTCCAGGCTCTTGCCACTTTTAGCAAACCGCTAGAACACTGCAAGTTTCCCTACTTGTATTTAACAGGACATTAAACTCAGGAGGTAAATCTTAAAAATGAATTCAAGTACCTTAACTAATCACAAAATGTAGCTTACATGTGTATTTCTCAGCTGTAGATCCTCAAATCATCTCTGAATTGGTGCTGGCACTGTCCTTCCTTCTGGAAGTTGGCTACTTTTGTTCCCCATGCTCCCTGTGTTTGTTGTAAAGTAGTCACCGCTCCAAGCTCCCTCCCGTAATGGACTACAATCTAAATACAAATTAGTAAACTAAACAAGAGATACTGTACTCCATCATGAGTGAGCTTGGAGCTGTGGCTACTTTACAACACAGAAAACAGGAACCATACCGCGCTCCTTACCGGGATTGCCACTTGATGAGGATGGCACCGCCAATGACTGCGGATGGCACCGCCACACATGAATAGAAAAATGTCACCAGCACACCATAAGTTGAAAAAGCAAAATATTTTATTGCCAAGCTGTATCCCATTGGCAAGCGCTTTCGGGGCCTTGCAGGGTCCCCTTCAACAAGGTTATCTCTAAGCCTGACGAAGGGGACCGTGCGAGGCCACAAAAGCGCTTGACCAATGAGATACAGCTATTGGCACTAAAATATTTTGCTTTTTCAACTTATGGTGTGCTGGTGACATTTTTCTATACTTTACAACACACACACACACACACACACACACGGACCATGGGGAACACATGTAGTCCCCTCCAGAAGTAAGGACAGTGTCAGCACCGATTCAGAGATGATTTGAGAATCTAATGCTGAGTGATATACAAATAAGATACATCTCTGTAAATAGATGAGGTAGCTGAATGCATTTTTAAGATTTAACGCCTGAGTTTAGTGTCACTTTTACTGCAAAATAAACCATGGAGTCTTGCTATCCATCACATTTTGTTTCACTGCACATAAGGAATGTATGGGAGTTGATGCCCTTTCTGCAAGCTCATAATGTTGTAGAGCAAGAAGAACTACTTATGATCAAGATCATAGGAAATGATTGCCGGGGAAAAAAACGATTGAAAGAAGAAAAAAAATGTACAGTATACGAGCCGGGTAAGCTACAAACTGGCACCTTGTGAGAACCAGATAAATTCTCTTTAAAAGAAAAAGAAATTAGAGGCGCAACTGAACACAATTAGGGTACTTTTCAATATCATAGAACAAATGTTCCCAGAGCAGAGGATGTCCAAATCATTTCAACAGACACAGGAGAACAAATGTCTCTAGCAGATGAGGGTCTCCTTAGAAAAGGCTGAATAGGGGACATAGTGCTAATTACATGACTGGGATCAAAAAGCTGGCAGCTGTAAAACAAACCTACATTTCAATAACAAAGCTATACAAATATGCTAAAAAAATGGCTACATTTTTTTAACACACTTTCTCAGAGCAGACTTGCAACATATGTCACCTTGGTAATGCAAGTTATTTGAAAAATATTTTTTCCATGCATTAGGTCAGGACCAAAAAACACAGTTAAGAGCATTTGCTGACTTTTTAACCAGAAACGGCTACCCGGGCCAAAGACTCAGCTCAGTACAATGAAAGAATCAGAATAAAACAAGTGTAACAAACAATCTTTTACAGTACTATTAATTTTCTGGACTTGAACACTGATTCGTTACCATGCACTGGTCGCTGTATGTAATTATGGTAAATATAGTTATAATGTAACCGTTAATGAAAATATAATTTATGCCGAGATTATTGCATATTAGCAATTAACAGAGCATCACATTTTCAATGTTAATAGGTAAAGCGCAATGCAGAAGTTTTTAACCATTGAATATACATGATGTAATATGAAAATACAGAAAAACATGACAACTCACACAATCTCTCAATATACTGCATGTATATTCATTAGTAACCAAGATCAGAGGCTCTAAGCCTGCTTTTTTTTTTTTTATGTCGGTCCCTAGTGCCACTGACAGTTTTCTAGGCCCCCCCATCCAATTCAAATCATTCTGGGTTGGAATATGTTGCAGTCCTAAATATAAAATTTAGCGGAATGAGGAGTCTTGTCTAATCTGCTAGTCTCAAGAATTATGGAAACCAATTTGCGATGTGACCTATAGAATGTATACAGGCCATAGGGTCAAAAATAAAATACAGGCAAACAATAGGCTGTGGAAATAGATGATTTACGCCGGTCTGTTTATACAGATTTGAAAGAACATTGATCCACAAAATATTAGACCGCTAGAAGGAACCGCAGACTGCATGCGACAACCTCAATCTGCAATGTAACTCAATATCATAGTGGCTCCACCAAAACCTACACTCACTTGGCTACAGATATCTCCAGAGCTGCTAGCAACTGCTTTTAAAATCTTCACTACATTTACTTCTCCAAATCACAGATGAATAATAGTGTGGATGGAGGAATCTTCAGCTGCGTCTATTGTATTTTGACAGTCGGCAATGCTGGCTGTCAAAATACCTCAACAGTGACCTCATCTGATCGGATATTTTCCACCTGGCTGGTATGATTTTTCAGTCGAAGGATGATGGCAAACCAGGCTATCCACTGTCAAATTTCAGCTGGATCATCAAGGACCAGTTGAAGTTTGCTCAATGTATGGCCAACTTAGAGAGGAACTCCCGGGAAAATATTAACCCTTGCAGTGAGGCTACCACCACAATGCAACGGTTAAGTGCTTATTTGTGTCTAGGGAGCAAAATAATAAGTTATACTCACCTGATCCTCAAAGACAGCTTGGCCCTAGACCTGTCCCTGGAGCATCTCTCCCCCCACCACTGCAGCAATCTAAAAGTCTAGTAAATCATCACATTCTATACACAGTGTATAGGACATGAGGAAGCAGAGGGATATTCCGGGGACACTGCTCCCTGCAAGTATCCACACACTTTTGCATGTGTGAATAATCTATTCCCCCACCACTCTGTGATTTCTTGTGCGTCACTACAAGACATACGAGCCAGGGAGAGGAACCACACAGCAAGCGGCAGTTGTAGCAGGTATTTAATCCATCCAACCAGAGGACGGTGACAAGTAAAGCAGTGGCTTTTCAAGGAATTGGCTATCGCAAAAGGAAATAAATGGTCTTCTTTTTGCAGGTATGTTGATGACAGGGTCCCTTTGGGCAGCCTTGCCCAAAGCAGTCCCAAAACAAAGACAGTAATTGGTGCAGGTGGAGTGAAAAACATTTTGTTACAATGGCACCTGGAAGTGGGTGAGATACAAATCGGCAGAAAGTGAAAATGTTGTTCCTGAAGTTGGTGTGTTGGAAGCAGAAAAAAAAATGGGCAAGTGTAAGAAATTGAGCGACTTTGACGAGGGCCAAATTGTGGGGGCTGGATGACTGGGTCAGAGCAACTCCAAAACGGCAGCTCTTGTGGGATGTTCCCAGGTCTGCAGTGGTCAGAACCTACCAAAAGTGAATATACATGATGTAATATGAAAATACAGAAAAACATGACAACTCACACAATCTCTCAATATACTGCATGTATATTCATTAGTAACCAAGATCAGAGGCTCTAAGCCTGCTTTTTTTTTTTTTATGTCGGTCCCTAGTGCCACTGACAGTTTTCTAGGCCCCCCCATCCAATTCAAATCATTCTGGGTTGGAATATGTTGCAGTCCTAAATATAAAATTTAGCGGAATGAGGAGTCTTGTCTAATCTGCTAGTCTCAAGAATTATGGAAACCAATTTGCGATGTGACCATAATTCTACCAAAAGTGGTCCAAGGAAGGAAATCCGCTGAACTGGCGTCAGGGTCATGGGCAGCCAAGGCTCACTGATCCACATGGGGAGCAAAGGTTCGCCCGCGTAATCTTATCCAATAGAAGAGCTACTGTAGCTCGAATTGCCGAAAAAGTTAATACTGGTTCTGATAGAAAGGTGTCTGAACACACAGAGGATCACAGTTTATTGTGTATGGGGCAGCATAGCTGCAGACTTGGTTGGGAGCCAATGGCCATGTGAACAAGGATAATGTGGCCAACAAAAATAGTTCAAGAATGGTTTGAGGAACACAACAATGAGTTCAAGGTGTTGACTTGGCCTCCAAATTCTCCAGATCTAAATCCAAATCGAGTATTTGTGGTATGTGCTGAGAAAGCCTGATCCATGGAGGCCCCACCTCGCAACTTACAGGACATAAAGATCTGCTACTGACAGCTTGGTGGCAGATACCACAACATACCGTGTTTCCCCTCCCGCCCACAGGCCCGCCCACACCGCAGCCGGCCGCAGCTTCTGCCCCGCCCACACGCCAGACGCAGCTCCCGCCTACACGCCCGACGGCCGCAGCTCCCGCCCACACACCCGCACGCACGATGGAAGCGTAGTATCATCCGCCGGGACCGGGACCAGCAACAGCACGCCGCCTTCCGGGACCTCGTCCGGTCCTCCCCCAGCCAGGTAAGACATCCCCCGAAAATAAGACCTAGTGTCTTATTTCGTGCAAAAAAAAAAATAAGACACTGTCTTATTTTCGGGGAAACACGGTAGCTTCAGAGGTCTAGTGGAGTCCATGCCTCTATGGGTAGGGGCTGTTTTGGTGGCAAAATTGTCACAGGTCAGCTAGAACTATGAGGAGCGGAAATCACTCATCTCATAGTTCTCCTTTAATGTCTGATCAGTGTGTATAAATGCATGTAAGGTCATGCACATGTGTACACACTGATGTGTGTGAATTTAATACAATGCTATGGGAGTAGAACTTAACAAGTCTATACTCATGTAAATGCAAACACTTTGCTGACCTTTTCATGTGTTATTTTATGCAGGACCTTTCTGCCAGCCACTGCTAGCAACATCTGCAATGTTATTACAGCCATGTGCATGAGGCTTTAGGAGTATATTTCTCTACAAGACAGTTCTGCACAGAAGTCCTGAGCCCTGCAATGTCCCACCAAGTTGTACACACCCCACGCATCGGGAAAAACCGAACTGATGTGTTTGCATGCAGCAACATGTCAGGAGTGTTGTTCCATCACTGTCCTACAGTCACCCTGTGTCCCCTGAATGGCATAGCAACCTGCCGAGAGATGGCTCAGCTAAAAGGCATGTGTTATTTGCCTGAGACAAACTGCTATAAATATACTGAAGCGGCCTTCTTTACAGAGACCCTTTGGCTACATGCAAGGAGTTTGCAAACAGTATTGCCTCAGGATTTGCAATTCTGCCAGCTGAAAAAAAAAAAAAAAAAAAAACTTTCCTGATGCAAAACGCTTCCAATGTAAACAAAAGCCGGCAGCAAATTTGGAATCCGAAAACAGTGCAGCCATCACACAAGAATCCTTTTGTTATAGGAGAAAATATGTTTGCAGCAACTGCTGGCGTATCTGTGCAACAGAACCAACAGGGCTAGAGACTGGCAGTCCAACAGTTACACGGCGCGGGGCAGGGCACACTGCACCAAAAAAAAAATGCCGGAATCTCGCCGGCTTAATTGAAATGTGATATCCCCTCAAATGAAAAAAGCCAAGGGCGGCTAAACTTTTCAGGGGAACAGGCAACGGCAGCAAAATTTAGCCCAGTCATCACTTGTAGAGCTGTCAAAAGATGGCAACTGCTTATGAATTATGCAGGACTTGATCACTTTATCCGAAACCCTGAAAATTGCTGTGGGCACACAAGGATATAATTTCATATGATATATCATATGTTCTGGAGAAAATACACAGAATGGTAAAGGTCACACAGAAATGTTTGTGAGCAATGAAAAGCCACTAAGAAACAGGCCATTACCATCTTATATGCAGGATGATGTCACTGGCTGAGCCATTACAGGGAAAGTCCGAGGATCCACATGTCCACGTGTAAAGAGGGCAAGGCGGCATGTGTGAAGATTGGGGGAATTACAGGCGTCGCTAACATCGCCTTCTTTCATTGCTTTATAGGCCAACCATCCAAACTTTTTTTTTAGATTCTCAATAAACTAAAGCCAGCCATACATATTTCGATTTTCTCATTCAGCCCACGAAAATCAATCCAGTCCCCTATCCAAAATCAAACAGCGAGGATTTAGGAAATTTCCACTGCCAGCTATTGTATTTCGTGTACGTGCATCAAAAGGCAGAAAAAAAAATGTACGTTTTGACACGCCTTCACGGAACATGCAAAAAATACAAAATACCTTGCTGTGCCAGTACCATTAATGCCACCCTAAACGTGGCCAGGAAGATGCACATTTTTTCCTCCACGTTTGTGTGCATTGAAAAAAAAAAAAAAAAGAATGCATGTTGCATATTTTGCTACATGTACTACTTTACCCTATTTGTGGTGCATTCAGGGAAAATGTGGAAAAGAAATGTGCATGCACACAACACTCGGTCACGCTATGCTCAGGTGTGAATGGGGCCTAATGTCTGTCGACATCAGAGAAAGCCTGAGGTGTTCTAAATCTTCCCCATTTACTGAAAGAAAAGTGTTAGGTTAATACACAATGAAGAGATTTTCCATCACTTCCTGTCCCCACAGGAAGGGCGGGGAAAATGTCAGTAATTTGTCTAGCATGCTAGCTGCCAGTTTCAGCTTCTCATGTATAAGATAAAACATTCGAACAATGACTGCAATTTACAAAAACATAGAAATTAAGCCTGGGAATACATACAGGAACACAGCACACCTGGGGAGGCCTGCAGTTTTTGATTCAAACATTAATGTATTGGACTAGCATGACGGGGAAGGGACATTTAAATCCCAATTCTGGGTAAAACCCCTTCCCACCCCTTCCTCACAACCCCCTAAGTGACTGCTGGCAGAAAACAAAATGAAATCCCTTTTTAACCCCTTCATGACTGAGGCCCTTTTTTCAATTTTTGCACCCATGTTATATTCCACATTTTAGGCCTGAAAATGACGTAAAACCCCCCAACATTATATATTTTCTGAATGCCAAGACCCTATAGAATAAAATGGTGGTAGTTGAAAATTTTTATGTTGCGCAATATTAGCGCAACTCCTTATTAAACCCCAAAATTTAGTGACAATGGAGGGGGTGTGGGGGGGGGGGGGGGGCGGCCCCTTCTTCGGGACGCAGAAGCGATCTGGCGACAGGTAAGTCGCCAGGATCGCTTCTGTTGTAAAGCCGACAGTCGGCTCTACGAGTTTAAACAGAGTCCCGGCGGCAAAAGTCACCGGGAGTCTGTTTAAACAGCCCCGATGCTGGCGACGTACACTGTACGTCGTCAGTCACGAAGGGGTTAAATTTACCTACAGCTGCAGTAAAGTGAGGTGAGGTTCGAGTCCAGCCTCCTCTTCTGTTTACATAAGATGGGCCCATCTTCAGGTGTCCATGTCACTGGCTGCGTAATGTGGACTCTTCCTAATGGTGGTGGTAACACTTCCAGCAGCGGGATATTCACACAGCGATTAACGCACGGTATTGCGCAGCACACCTACCATGAGTTAACAGTGCGGAAGGTGCGTTGCATTGCCATTCATCTGAATAGGACCCCAAACGCACCTCCTGCCTGCAATGTGCTTGATCATGTCCAATCGCACGGTACAGCAATACCATGTGTTGTGGTTGAAAGAAGTAGTGCTAAGGGCACTGGTGTGAATAGGCCCTTAGGGTGGCTCCTTTCCCTTTCAGGGTCCTGAGGAGCCACCTTTGAGTGTGCTAGTGAGCTACGAGTGCCTCCACAAACACACTGACCCAGCAAAGCAAGACGTTCCCATTCCCCCTCCTCCAAGCTAGTAAGTGGACGGCTGCAAGGGGACTGTGTTCCCCCTTGTAATCTGGTATTGGACAGTGACTGGACTGGAGTGAGTTTAAGCTGTTTGGAAACATGGTCTCTAAGCAGGCAAAAAAATTAAGCAATGCACTGTATATTTGTTTGATTTGGGTTCATAAGTGAAGAAAAAAAAAAATTATAGATATATATAAAAGTTTAAACACTAACTGCAGAGAAAAAGTCAGGCCACTAGCCTGGCTGTACAGCTTTGCAGAGCTGTGTAAATCTCAGGGTTGGATAGACAGGAATACAAATCCTTTGAGTGGATTGCCTGGAGCTTAGATTTAACATGGTTGTGACGTCTGCCTGATGCATTTGCAGGCCACCGATTTTGTTTTGCATGCTTTTCAAAACGGCTACTTTGTTCGG